TACTGTTGAGTTGTTGTCGTCATTGGGGATTTGTGTAGTCCCCTCGGTGTATCTTCCCTTTTCTTCCTCCTTTGTACACGTCCCATTTCCATCATGACTTTCCTCATTAGGGCGTGTTTAGGTAGGTGATGTGACGAGTATGGAGGTGAGTCGCAGGTATAGGATCGACTGAGAAATACTTCGTCGCGAATACATAAGGAGTTTGAGAGATGTCGGATGTTTGAATACGATCCCCAGACAGACCTAATCCCATTCGTGAATCGTATGTTGGTGGTGATGAGTTTTTGTTCGATTTTGTTCCGGCTGTGAAATCTCTGCCGACTGATTTTTCGACCAAAATATTGAGTGCAACTACTTCAAGTCGAAAATCCATCGAAAAAAAATCATCCCACCCTTTTTCGTGACTAAATCACGGCTCTGGGGGAATATTTTACTCCTAGGTTCGTAGAGGACACCACTGACAGGTGTTCAGCATTCGTTAGCCAGGAGGAATCCTTTCACTATCGTATTGTGAAATTTGACTGAATTTGGCTCTAGGAGTACATTTCACAAACAGATTCGTACAGCACATGACGCGCAGGTGTTCAGTCTTGCCCACACTGTAGCTAGTTGGTTATATACGTAAATAAATTTTGATGAAACGGAGGAAAGTAGAAGCCAAGTTCTTGCATGAGCACAAGGTTACAAGTTCCGAAGAAATGTATGTATTGCTGCATGTGCGATTTCATAAAACAATCCAAAAAAGTATTGTTTTGGACTCGCGGGGAATCGAACCCCGGACCACTCCCATACCTCCTATGCTAAGGGAGTATTATACCACTAAACCACGAGCCCTGTTATTTATCACTGGCTAATAAAGTAAATAAAAAATTGTATTAGGCCGACAAAATCTTGTAGCCTATTTCAGAAATCCAAGTATAGCTATTTTCAGAGGGTAATAAAATTGGCCGAGCATCGATGGAATTTGATGCGGTAGTATGATGTTGGCTCCGATTTATCTTAACAGGCAGCGAGTAAATACGAGGAGAGTATACCTTCGGGTATTCACAATTTATTCGTCTTTTTCATTTCCCTGTAACACCGAACCTTGCTACCATCCTTCTGAATCATTGTACATGCCCGCAGCCAATTCTGTTTTGTCATTTCATGATGATATATCTAAATGAAGTTCGAATGCAGCACTCAATGAACTCTATCTTGCCCTCGGGCTAGCTTTGGATATTTGAATACCTTTTCGGGTTGAAATGTGACCGTGCATGATCTCTACACAGGCTTATCTTGAAGATGTCTGTTTCAGAGTGGGAATTGTCAGACCAGTATCAGAGCCCGGTGGAATTCGTGTTCCTAACTTATTGTTTCGTGATTCATGTAAATTCCATTCTTCTAACATGACCGTTATATTATTGTCAAAATAACATGCCAAGCTGGTACCTGACATAATTTGTGATCGCCTCAGGAAAACCTTGGCGTTTTGGGTAATTTTTAGCTAGAAAAAATTGGCATCCGTGTAACAGACGTGGTGGTCTAGTATTGAGTCGGTTTAGGATTACATCTTGGCTACAACATGTTTGGATTGTGTCTTATGATATAAGGAAGCTATTTCTATATATTATCATCATATGTCAGGTAGTAGATAGGTGTAGATATATAAGCTGAGAGAAAGAGGAATGAAGACAGACAGAAAATTACATCTTTTTATTTCCTTCAAATGAAAGCTCCTGTGCGAGATATTCTTCCAGATACCTCTAGTCTCAATCATTAAAGCTTCCGAACTAGCTAAAAAGGTTCGACAGGAATCATACGCTACATTGTGGACCTTATTCTAGCTTGTTCAAGTTCGTGTTTCAATCAAACCAGCAAAAGCTGTTACTTTCTCAAAGTATCAAACAAGGACTTCAATAAGTTTTCGGAAGCTAGAGTATCCTATTAAATCTGGTGTATAGCCAAGATTCTTGTTAGTAACCCAGAGTAATTGATAATAGTTTCAGGGCGAATATTCTCAGCAACTGTCAATGGTGTCCCCTACGAACCTCCAGCTCTCACTGCATAGTCTGCAGAGCCGAGATTGAGTAACAAAGTCCTCACTTCGACGAGAATTCCCAATCACCTTCGCCGTCTATATCGTCTTCATCTCTCAACACATTCCCCTGTCACTATTATCATGAAGCTAACCACGGTCAGATCAGATGGTAGGGTCGGAGCCCTACTCATCACCAGCCCTTGATCATGGAGGAGAAGCCATCCGATGAGTTTCCGGAGCGTACCCAGCACCCAATACGGAGATGGTGGATTGGATCAAGTCGGCCTCGACTGACACAAAGAAGAGAGATATAGATGAATATGCGTACCTCATGTGTTCCCGTTGTCTAGGTCTCGCCGGACTGGGGCTGGAGGCTTTTTGTGACTTTTTCCCCGCACGAAACTCCATTACTACCTTTTTTTTGTGTAGAAGGTTCTAATGGAGAGTGGCTGGATACCACGGATAGATACTTAGCTGAATGGCTATTCATCACGGGCAATATATCAATGATCTTTCAAGCAATAAAAGGGGCAATGAGCGCTGTACAGGGTATGGCCTGGGTCGGAGAGGATCCCGATATACTGAATAATCATATATTCTAGCAGAACAATAAATATACACACGCAGAATAATCGTGGGAGAATGGGGTGTCTGGGTCTCATTAGATGCGAGCTAATTTTATACCGTCTCGCATGGTCTGATGATCAAGCTATCCAGAGCCTGCTTGGTAAAATAGCCCGGATAGCATACCACTGCGCCATATAGCCTAGATGTGACGTTAGTGTGTTCAGGCCATAGACACAGCCCATGTAAATGCCCATTTTTCGGTACCCCGGCAGGGACCCAACGAGTGCCAAACCGGGCAACGGGCATCTAGTCTATGCTCAATCCCGACTGCCTCGTTTCGGGATCTGGGGCACGTACAGAGCATGGGCCCCTGGGCGTCAAGGGTAAGCTCAAGCAGGAGGAGATAAAGCAATGATGGCGCGCTCACGCATCTTTTTTTTTTTTTTTTTTTTTAAATCATTTAATGTGTATTCAGCTATCTAGCTATGACACATGACCGGCGCTATGTATACATGTGGGATGACTCTTTTGACGTTAGAGACACTCATACTCTGGATTTCATTTGCAAATACCACTATGAGGTATGTTCGCTTACACAAACAGTCAACCCTCCTCCGTAAGTACCCACCAAAGGGAATTTAAAAACCTTTGATTATCCAAGCATGCCTTCGTCATCCATGCATACCAGCGCCGCGAGAAATGTGGTTGTGTTTTGCCGGATTCGAACCAGCGATCTACTGTCTCAAGTGGGATATGTGTCCAAGCTATCCAGACTCTACTTGGCAGACCGGCCAAGATGATGTACCACCGCACCATCCAACCATGGCAGTTTTTATAGTGTCGCCTGCACTCTCGCAGCCGAAGACTTGGCATGCACAAAGCTCAATTTGTAAAAACTCCTTTCCAAAACTCAGAATTCCACGCCCGTCGAGACTGTATCCAATCCTCTGCATCATCTTATTAACTTGTCCTGATCCCTCTCACATCCATCCCAAGGAATTGTCTTCCAGATTTGTACGCCACGCTTTGCTGCGCTCACGCATCGCTCGGCCGTAATTTTATGTGCAAAGCTGGCGGACCGCATCGTGCTTGGAAGATTGAGCACTTCCTTCTCCTGTGTCCCCAACGTTGTAAGTCGGACCCAATCGCAGCCAGTATCGTAAAGATTTGTGCCTGACACAAAAAGGTACTAGTTAGAATTGAGTGGGAGTGCTGCTCTAGGTCGACCTGCCGCAGCGTCATGGAACCATTTGGGAGAAACCAGTGATTAAGACCAAAGCATGGTCTGTTATCCGCTCGTGCGTCATTTGCCCCGTGGTTTTGGTCTTTGTACGCTCATTGTATCGGGAGTCGGACCTTCTGCACGGCAGAATAAGGAGACCCTTCGATTCGCTATGTCAGAGTCGCAGTGAAGGCCCGGTAGGCTCGCCTGTTCGACACCAATGTGACGGGCATGCGCCAAATCGAGAGTCCGCGAATACATGGATAAATGCACTGCCAGACTTGGAGCCGAGGCTAGTGAAGGCGTCACGTCGCGCACGAAAATCTAGTCCGAGCCGTCTGCGGCTAAGTCGCTGCTAATCGAAGGCCTGTGGAGAGTCAGGCGTCTGAAGCGGCTTCAACCGGGGTCGGCCAGCTCCACGCCGTAGTCCCTTGTAGGAGATTTAACTACGCCCGCCGCCCCAAACCGGATAGAGATCGGCGGCTCGGACAAGATCACGCGACTACATAGCCACCAACCTCTCCTGGCTGGTCTTTGTCGTTCCGGCAGAGGGAGAGCTACTCCATAAAACTGGTAGATGGCACTGAGATCTATTGCCTCAAGGACAACACTTACCAGCCTTGGAATTGATTAATACATGAGAATATTCGAATTCGTCGCACGACCCGATGATGTGATCACACTCTTACCAACCGATTTCTCAAGACGTACAGGTATCAACAACTTCGAAGACATGTAAGTCATACACATAACACACGCATCCTAGGTAAAGGCTAGATAGCAGTCACAATAATTGTTTTACGGACAGCCCTAATCTTCTTTGGACTGTCTATTCACATTTTACTCGTTTCTCATCGACATTGTTTGGGCGAATTTATCATCGACCTCAAACTTTTCTTTATCCAAATCATCTCGCCAGACGGTGCTAAAATTGCTCATTCGCTTCGTCTAATTTACGACTATTGAAATTTGTACATTGGCTTCCACTTGTCATAAATCCCGAGTTTTCATAATCACTCCATCAACTCCACAAAAAGATTTTCCATGGTATACTAGGCTGCCCCAATGCTCTTCCGTTGTGCCTTAAGATCCTTCCTTCCCACCTTCAAAACGCCTCCCATATACCTGCAGTTATTCACCCATGCCGCTCTCCTATTCCCTGATACCAAACACCTGAACCTGTAAAATAGTCTAATTTCCATCATAAGAAAAGATGGAAGTATCTATCGAAAAATTCTTATCAAACATTGATGCACTTACGTCGTCAAAAGTCGGGTAGAGCATCAGCGGTTTTTCTTCATCAAAAATTTCCAATTCTTCATCATTATCACAGTCTAACGTCGTTTGACCACTTATTTCATCAACATCTGGGAGACCGAAGGGAACCCAAGATTGATTCAAGAGATCGAGGTTCATATCAAAGCCTATGACGTCTGATATATCACTGGTGGGCTCAGAGATACCATCCTTATTAGATTCAGGCGTATCATTCGGTGTTATCCCTCGAAATAAACTCATGTCTGAGACCGATCCATTGATAGCGCTTTCAAACGGCTTAAATGGCTGAAATAAATCATTAGGATTAATGGTAGTGTTAGCCCATGCATCTGAGGCTATCGCGTTGGCTACTTTCTCACTAGGAATTGCTTCTTTCGTTGAGGAGGGACCTTTATTGTTAACCTCTTTGTATAGGGTCTGTTTAAATATGCTTGTCTTTTCTGATGAGCCGTGTGGACCGCTGATTGAGGCCGGTTTCATCATAGGTGTAGCAGCAGGAGTACTAGGAGCTTTGATGTGTGGTGAAATTCCTTGCTTGGGGTTACCAGAAGCAGACTTAGATTCAGTACTAGGTAAATCAGTAGCGCGAAACGCGGTGGGTAGCTTGTTTGATTCTCTGGAATCTAACCCCAGTACTTTGGACAAGTTTTCTTGTGCGTACTTGGATGGATTCTCATGCGGCTTAATATGCTCTTCATGCATGTGCTTCTGAAGATCTTCTTCCTTTTCAAAGCCTACACAATTTCGAGAACAGTCTTGTTCTGTGCAGACAAAAGTTGGCCGAGCCACCTCAGTCTGTTGTCTTTTAGTATCAGAAGAGATTACTTTTGCTAACTGCGGTGACGACGTAGATAACTGAGATTCCTGCCCCTGAGCAGGTGCTAGTTTTTGCTTCTTGCGAGCGGGAATGTGAAGGTCCATATCAACTTTCTTCTCATCCGCATATGAAGGCGTACCTTGAGGTGATGTTACGCCGGGGTGAAGGAGTACTTGAGACGGCGTAGGTGCGGTTGGTGCATGTGAGCCTCGACTGCTTGACCTCTGATGTGTTTGCATTTTTTGTACTTGCTGCGAGATTGTAGAGTTATTTGGTATCGAGCCTTGCGATTGGCCTGTAGGCTGGGTTTTGTTTGACTCTTGCTTTTTCAAGTGTGGAAATTTCTCACGGAGATCATTTACCATTCTGTAAAGAGCGTTCTTTGCAAACTCAATTTCTTGAATAGATATGCTGAACTCATCCTTGAGTTTGTCCTTTTCGAATTTTCCAGCGTGAAACTGCAATGCCAGTCGTGCTCGCTACGTCTAATTAGCTTCTGTTCTATGGTTAGTTAGATGATGACTCACAACGCGGAAAAAAGTTCGTAGTCTATCTTCATCACCGCTGTTTTTGAACCAGCTGGCGATAACCCTTGTCAAGTTCTGAGTTGGAAAAATTAGGCTTGTGAGCAAGTTCTTGGCTTGAATCTTAGTTTCGGCGTCCATGGGCACTACGTTTGAATCATGCTTTTCTTGAGAAACCTGCTCCTGGATCAAATGCACTTTCTCAGATTCGGGATTACTGAAACTGCGATTCATTTGACTTGCCTGAGCCTTACGCATTATTTGCTCGTATCTTTTACGCTGTTCAGGGTTGAGCCCAGAAATTTGTTGCGGAGTCAGTAATCGTGGTTTTTGTGACTTGGAATTTGATACTGGTACTTGCTGGATACGAGAAGCTTGATTTGATGATTCGAGAGGTTCATCAGAAAGAGGACGTTTTAGATTTTTCGAAGCTTGGGAAGGCGAGGCAGTTTGAGCCATATGTTGAGTGACTTTTGCCTGAGATCGGGACACTGCAGATGGATTCAGTTGTTGTGATGCTGTTTGAGATGTGAGGATTGAAGCAGGAGCGTCTGAAAGTTGCTTAGGCTTTGAGCCTTGTGTGGTATTATTTTGCCCTGTTAAATTGATAACGCCCGTATTTTGCTGTCCAACAGGTTGGGAAAGTTGCTGGCTATTACTTGCTGGAAATCGGCTTGCTTGCTGAGAGGCTATTATCCGCTGTTGTTGTGCTGTTTTCATAAAGATATTTCGAATTTGGTCGTCAGACGCATTGAGCATTTTCCCACTAGGATGGTTGCGGAGAGACTGTATTTCTGCCATAGTTGGCTGCCTTACTATTCCTGCAATCGTATTCATTGCAACATTCTGTCCTGGTTTGGGAGTTGGACCCATTGGGGCGACTGGAGCAGACACACTTGGACCAGGAGTACACATGTATTCTGGAGTATTCTGGTTATATAGTAAGTTTTGTTGACGCTGTTGCAGGTTTCTATTTTGAATAATATTTTGGAAATGTTTTTTTTGATTGGTATTTACAGTCTCCAACATAGTTGGTCCCATGCTAGGATTATTTGCGACCCACTGTTTAAGTTCACCCCATTTGCGTATCTCGGGTGGATATCCTTGGGGCATACCTGGTTGATTTGAAAATATAGGAGGTATTTCTGCGCCATCCATTTGCATTTGTTTTTGATATTCAGATGTCGCTATGGCTGAGGACACGTTGCGCTGAGGATCTAACACGGCTTGTCCTCTCAAGTTAGCCATTTGTTGCAAGAGCATCATTTGCTGTTGATGTGTCATATTAGGTGCGACGTTTTGTGGACGTTGGATGGCGGTCTGGTTGCTCTGTGCTTGTAAATTATACTGATTTGACGGCATTGTCTGCTGTGTCGGTCTCCCTTGTGGGCTAGCTGAAGACTGTGATATGCTTCCGCTCATATTTGGGCTAGTTCGCCATTTATTGGTTGTCTCACTCATTTTACTGGGCGGTAAGCTATGATGAGTTCCCATATTATTAATCATTGCAGCTGTATTTTGATTATTAACAGGACCAGCTTGTCTTTGATTATTGCGCGCAAATCGAGAGTCCACATTCTGTCCTAACTGTGTGTTTGGGGTGGGAGCAGGGGGTTCAGATTGACTTATTTGTTGTGAAGATGTCCTAGATGCCGTATTTAAATTTGATGCGGGTGAGTTTTGCTGCGATAACATAGAGCCAGCAGCAATTCCTCCAGGTTGCCCTTGAATAGCTACCTGTTGTGGCTTGGCTGCCATATTTACCCGAGCTTGAGGCTTTGGTTGTTGTTGTTGTTGTTGAGCCACTTTTGCCTGTTGTACTCTTTTATTGTGTATCTGTTGAGCATTGAACATCTGCTGCTGGTGCTGAGGTCCAGTATTATGACTTGCGGGGTTCACACGCTGATCATTGACATTCATGGCCATTCCTGACATCATAATTGCCTGGTTACTTGGATTTGTCTGCGGAGCCCCGCTGGTTGGTACAGCTACTTGGCTCTCCGTTTTTGATGTTGCACCTTGTTGTTGCTGTTGTACTGGAACATCGACGTTTCCCAAGAAGCTCGAGAAATCGGAGCTAGAGTCTGTTAGGTTTATAATTGGAGTTGATGCAGAAATGGGATTGGATTGCATGGTTCTTTGCTGCGGGATGGTGGTGTTTGTGGATACATTTTGGGTTTGTTGAGACATTTGTAGCTGATGTTGTTGAAGTAGTTGGTTCCTGTTACTTTGAAGTTTTTCAATGGCTCTTTGACGAAACCAAACCATTAGGGGATCTAATCCCTTAGATTGACATCTCTGCATTTTGACGGGGTCCATCGTAGTTTGAAGTCTTGATCGAATTTCGTTCTTGTCATCTTCTGATGTTTGACCCGCGATTCGGGTAGTTAACTCGCTTAGTATCGCGTTCTCTTGGGGAGTGAAATTCTTATGGCCAATCCTTCCAGCGATGTTGGCATGATGTTGTTGTTGTTGATGTTGCTGTTGCTGTTGTAGCTGTCGCTGTTGCTGCTGTATCTGTTGTTGCTGTATCTGCTGCTGTTGTTGTTGCTGACGCTGCTGTTGCATTATCTGAAAGGGTGAATTTTGAGCCTGACCTTTATTAGGGCCTTGCATTCCCATCTGATTGAGTTGAGATGTCTGTCCGGAGATAGATGCTTGTGCTTGTGCAGAATGTTGAAGATGGGAGAAAATTGGTTGTCCAGGCTGAGCCTGCATGGATCTCTGTCCCATTATTCCATTCGGGCTCATTAACATCTGTTGTGCTTGTGCATGTTGCTGATGAACACCTTGAAGGTTGATTTGTTGCTGACTCCGCTTCTCTTGTAGATGCTCCAATTTATTTTGTATCTCAAGTTTATAGCCTTCCTAGTAAGGTTTTAGCTGTGATTTGATGTACTTGCATTTAGTTTACCTTGGTAGATGCGTTTATAAAACACTCTCTTTCAAATTTAAGTGCAATTTCAATCATTCTTTGGATAGTAACGGCAGTACCTGGGTGACGTTGACTAGCGAGTCGAAGATTCCCGATTCTGTAGTGACTGTAAGTTTTACCGGTCTGGAAATAAACAGGTTAATTTGAACTATTCGGTGCTTACATGTTAAATATAAGTCCTAGTCTCTCATTGATAAGTAGACTAACTTGCCACCCTGAAAGGACGGCGGGCTGCGATTGAAGGGCACTGTATATACACTGTTGGATCTGTACTGCTTGGGAGTTTGCCTGCTGTTGCTGAGGGGTTAGTTGGCCGGGAACACTCATATGCTGCTGAAAATTTGTCTCCATTTTCTTTATTGGAGCACGGATTACCAGATAATGCTTGAGCTTTTGGTAAATGTTAATTCAAGCCTTGAAGTCAAGGGTCCTTCCTCTACTACTATTCGTAGAGGTTCTAAATGTAAGTAATGCTGAAGGCTTGATGGCTGAGGTGGTATTCTTAGTTCAAAATAGGTCGACGCAGATACGCAATCAACGGCTTGCTGCCTTTTACGTTTGCTCAGGTCCGCATGGATCCAGTCGAGTTAGGTAAGAGGCAAGAATTGTTTCCGTGAAATAATTAACTGTGCTTTTTATTCGTTACTTACAACGTGCATGGAGCCGTAGAAGATTGGTGGTTTGGTCGAGCGATTTGATGTGAGTGGAAAGAGAGTTATCTGAAGGCAATAAAAGTTTGTAGCCTATTCATACAGCTTTTTTTGAAAATTCTCTCGAGGTCGAAAGAGAACAGTTTCAGGTTAACCTTTGAGACTTCAGGCTGGGGAGATGCAGGACTGCGGGTACGAAAGTTTGCGTGCATGAACAGCTCTCGATAAATAGAGTGTGCAATTTAAAGATCTGGGTAGAAAAAGAAGATGAGCCGAACAGGTGAGTAGGAAGAGAGCGGTAATGAAGAGCTGGCAAGTAGAATAGGTGGCAGAAGACTCGAAAGTCAATGCTTCATGAAGTTTGTGAAGAAGGCGGCGAGATGGTTGGGAAGATGGACGATGGTGGTGATTGTGGTGAATATGGGAGAGACGAAATACGCCAAGTAGAAATGGAGAGAAAAGTAGCAGATAAACGCATTGGAGAGTTGTTTACGGCGGAGGAGATGACGGACAATGTAGTTCTCTCCCCAAAAGACCCATCGCCCACCCACACCAGCCGCGGGCTATATCGTCTGGCCTTATAAACAAGGCGGGTTCGGCCAATCGCAACGGCCGACAAAACTACATCCCAGTACCAGGCTAAATTTATAATGGGGCCCCCTCTAGCTAGTATCGTTGTCTCCCGTCTGCGGCGCATCAGTTTGCTCGTAGAATGGAAAAAACTCTTTTCGAGTTATGCTATCTATGGAAGTATCGCATTACTGTATAAGAGCATCGTACGGCTGAACAGCAGCAGTAGTTGCTGAGGTCTGAAGGGGAATGACTGTCGGTGGTTGAAATCCCCCCCCCCCATTAATTACTTTCAGGGGGTCCAACACCGCATGTTCCGGGAAGATGTCACATGAAGTTAATAATAGTGGAGCTGTAGACAGGTAGACAGATTGAGACAGCACAAAGGAATCCAATAATACTTTTATCCTAAAACGAAAGAAAGTCCTGCCAACCACTGAATCTCGTGGACCGAATGCTCAAAGAGTCTGGATACGACCTAACGAAGATGTTCTTGCGCACGGAAAATAACTGCGAATCGATGAGCAGCCTCATCAACTTCCGCAGCATCAGCCGAAAGTGCGATGATGACTGTATTAATATCCCCCCAGAATTCAGTTCTCGGCGCAACACCGTTTGGCTTGCAGGCATCAATGCCCACGCCTTATTTTGCAAGGCACCAGGACTGCATCTGGCGCAAGCACACATTCCCCCCATTTACGCACCTACACTTGCTCACCCCAGACTGCACAAGCCGGACCCAGGCAGGCGTATGAAACGACTGAAAAATTAGACGATCACTGTGAAGACTTCAACAAGGCGACAGTTGGAAATCTTACGGCGGCGATTTATGAAAGTAGACGTCGAATCCGACGGGAAGCGAGGCATGTGTTCGATGAAAACGATAATTGATTGCGACATGACGGTGAGGTCAAGGGCCGGTAAGACCGATGTTGGTGCAGATGCAAATGCAGTCTAGGCTAGCAGGGCAGACTAGGTGTCACCGCAAATAATTAGTGGAATCCTGAACGGCAAAACTCCCGTCTCTGCAGCGGAGGCAAATAAAACCTATCAAGGAGGCGACGGAGAAAGGGCAGCAGGCAGGAGGCCAAAGCATTATTAGGCAAGAACCAAAAACCCTCGGCCCTCGCGATCTAGATATGCTAGCTGAAATGCTGGTCTCCTTTGAAGAGGGGATTTTGTACGCACGTATCAGCAACAAAATGAAGGAGAGCGAAGAGGATAGGAGACAAGGAGATGAGCAGCGGTATGGGTAATGTTGTGAAGCGAGCAAGTCACCCATTCATTGGAGTATGGCGTTGCAGCTATGGTCGACATGTTGCGCTAGGTGAAGTGTGGTAAAATTGAAGACCGTAGAAGATGAGCAATTGGGATTTCTGACACTTACCCGGGTTCAGATGTTATGGTTATAATTGTTGTCATCATTCCATCACAGCAGCCTTCAGCCGACCCTAATATTCAAGGGAGGGGCCCAAGCCAGATCGGCATGCGGGTTAACTGGGATCTATCAGATCAGCCAACAACAGCTCAAGATCGTCGACAGCTTCGATACCTCCCGGCTCATCCACTCTCCTATCTCCCTCGTCTCCCGCTATATGAGAACAATCCATCCTATCTCCAGACGTGCAAGTGGCAAGTACCGCCAAATCGTTTTCAAATCATCAAACTCTTTCTTGTCCAGAAATCTCACGACTTCCATCTCCTCCTCTACACACATTTCCCTATAGTACCAGTGCTTCTTCTAATTTCAGCGCTCTGGCGCCTAAATGTAGCACCTCTAGTGTGTACCTCCAATCTAGTCAGGGATTCTGCTGCCAGCCAATCTCTAGATGATGTACGCTACAATCAGCAGTGTATACCTCACAACCAGCAACAGCAAAAGGCTGCTACTTGTCCAATGGGCGGCTGACTGACATTATGCCGTTGAATTTCCGCGCAATTGACACTGACAACGAGCTTTCCGGCCCAAACCAGCAAGGAAGCTTTAGGCCACAAGTCATAAACAGCCATTCCAAGGGAGCAAGCTGGCGCGGCATGAAGAACTGCAGAGTCACGTGGCACACTCGACGCATTGATATCGATTTATGCAACATGGTTTATTGTAAAGGTCTTCGTACATCCAACCATCAACCTTTTCCTATTCCCTGAGACTCATCTCACCTATCTGTTTGTGTTTGCCTGCCCCCTGCATCCCTTCATACCTTTAGGATCGAGTTTGATACGACCTTCTTTCTCCCTACGTTTATTGAACCTTGAACTGCTCCACACTCCCACGGCACTGCCAGCAAATCAAATATCAAAGTTTCATTTGTTGGAAAAATTTTTTGATCTCTATTCGCCCGCCGACTTCCATTGGGAAGCGACTCACTGTTCCAGCGAGCCCGAGGCATTATGAAGCCGGGTCTTGCACGTCCGCCTTAACAGGGGTCCTATGCACTGGGCCTCACATTGTATCAGACTTTTCCTAGGTAGGGCGTGGTGAAGCTGAGTCTGTGTTTTAAAGTGTAGCTAACGAAATGCCTGTAGGGCAACCTGAAGCCGCACTACTCTTGACTGAGACGATGCGCATCTTGCTCGGAAAATCGGGCCGACCGGCTCCGCGACTTAGATATAACCCTTCCCCAACCGACAGTAGGTGGATGGCGGGGGTACCTGCGTGGCCCACGTAGCCGCATCAATCCTCACTTGCCATAGTGTCGTAGATGGATAACTTGGTGGGTCAGCAGGCCATCCCCTGATGCTTTGAGTCATACGCCGCTGCTGCTGTCGACCATGACAGTTTGACAAAGAAGCTTAGAGGCGGCAGACCGCAATGTAGCCTACCGCCCTAGCGCGTGCGCACCCTTCCCCAAGAAATTACCCCATCGTCTCACCACTGGCGTGGTGCAAAAGGAAACGAAGGGCGAAAAAAACAAATATGATCAAGGAGAAACTGCCCATGCCTTTTAGGCTCCCATAACCGCTGGCTGGTTGGCCGGCTTTTACGAGTCTCGTGCGTATTGGAATCTTGGTCGCCTTCGCTCCGTAAAAGTGTTATGGCTTAGCGCGCGTGATCTCGTTCTATCGCATCGCCTTCATCCTCTAGGGGAATTGTGCATGTGAATCGCATACGTTCGTAACTATCTCTCAGTGAGCTGACCGTAGTTATTTACCATGTATATATGAAAATCTGCACGAAAATACTGAAGTAATGAAACCCATAAATGTCTAGGCCTATGTCTACACCCATGTTGGTGAGTGCTAAACTACAAAGTGGTTGGTCATCTGATAATTGTGTCAGGAGGTCCTAGGGTCTAGTGGATGGGTGATAGAGGAATTACATTAGGCCGAGGGCAGTGTAGCCGTGGACAGGGTATTAAGCTACATTGCAGCCTGTAGCCTGATAGGGAATCCACTGCCAATGTAGAAGGGTAGACGACACAAACAGCTTTTACTGACATCACATGAGAGATTCCACTATGATACATATAGTTTTACCATCGGATAGCCGATAATTGGCCTATTCACAATGGTCACGCGTTATCATTATAAGGTAATGTTAGTAGGTATATGCCTTTGTCGGCTCCCACTGCATTAGGGGCTCATAAGTGTTGGGCAGCATAGACTCTCGACTCAATTCATAATTGGCTTGTCTCAAGTTCTAGTTGACTACCGGCGATCATCCGCTGTATCTCTTCTATGTCGCAAAGTGTCTCGTTAAAAATACTGACCAAGCGACTCATGACAGTCGTACGATTCCATTCACCGCGCATGCTCCATAACCCATTCATTAATTCGCGGTTAATCCGCTCGAGTTGCTCGATTGAGCAGCCGCTAGTTCCATCGACGAAGCGAGTGAGTGCAACTTGAATATAGGAAGAATCTAAAATAAGCTCATTAGATGGAGTGCTCTGAAAGGAGCTAGATTCGAGGGGCAAGTCATTCAAGAGGTTTGCCATGCCCGTCGGATGTGACTTGGAGACTTGCTGATGTGACCCAGAGCCTAATGGGACTGAAACCGTCTGCAGAGGTTGATTAGTGTAGGTGGGTGCCTGAAAAGAATGAGGAGCTCCATAGGTAGCAGGATGAGCCTGAGATGCTGGCCACTCGTCACTAGTGTCAACTTGGGTATTTCTCTGCGTATCAGGTATATCGAAATCCTGAGTTGGCTTCTCAGCTGGACTCGATGACATTGGATTACTGAGTCCATTTAGCCTTCGAGCACCCCAGGTATCGGATTTTTTCATTGGATTCATCGCTGCTAAACAATGAAGGGGATCTCGAGCAATTGTTTCGGATGCAGTCTCCTTAAAGACCACTTGCTGCGACACCTGACTAAGTGTGTTTATCATGTCGACATTCTGGCCTCGATTAATTGCAAGGGGTTGAAGTGGAGGTTGCATAGTCTTATGTACATCTTTGTCAGTACCTCCCATTACTACATCCTCAAAACTACGAGACTGTACTGGTCCTCCATTCACCAGGGATCCATCTAGTGTGGTATTTGAAGTATGAGGAATCACTAAAGATGCTAGACTTGTTCTAGGACTTGGGTTCTCATGAGGCGAGAGTCCTAGGTTTATTGAAGCAAGCGGTGCATCGGGTTCAAGAATTGGCCCGCAACAGTTTTTTCCATCCCGTTTCATAAGCTTTGCTTCTTTTTCCTTAGCTCGTTGATGTTGTCTGATATAGAGATTCTCGCAGTCAGAAAAAATAGGGTTCTGCTCTATAAGAGCGATATCTACTTCAACATTTGCTAATAATTCCTGGGCTTTGAGAGTTCGCTCTTTATCCCCGACTCGTTTTGCGTCTTTTGCCAGAGATCTTATATCGGCTAAGAAATCTTTAGGGCGAGCATAAAAACCATTTGATAATCGCTCTTCTATAGTTGTTGTCTCTAGGTTGTAGAAAAATTTTCCTGATGCAACTTCACGAAGCCCTATAACACCATCTTTATCTTTCCCAATCTCATATGGTCGAAGAGTAGCGATATCAGCACGTACAAAATCTGGATCTTTTTCATCAAAAATATACTTAATAGCACTCTGTGGAATCACAGGAGAGCGAAATTTTTTGTACTTTTTTTGTATTTGATCCATGATTGGCTGGATGGCGACTTTCAAGAGATTCAATAGTTGATGATCTTTCTTCTTCTGCGCATCAATTTCTTCTCTTGTTGGTGCTTTGACTTCCGGGAGTGGAGCTAATTCGAGTACTTCTAGCTTCCTCTTCTTACGGTTCAATGGTTCCGGAAAATCTTTTGGTGATTTTTTGACGTATTCTCCAATGCTAGTAAAGAAAGATGTCCGTGCTGACTAGTCATTGTTAGTTATAGTATCTATTTTTAACCGCAAGAGTCAATTACCCTAGATGGCCGATTTATGGTGAAACGATTGTATCTTGAGTATCCAAATATTTCGCGTATTAACCCAGAATTAGATTTATTTGATGGGGTATCTGTTATACCAAGTACTAGAATTGGATCAGTGGGCGGAATTGATCGAAGCAGGCCCAGGAATGTCATTATAGCTGCATCATTAAGTGTTTGATACCAGTTATCTACGCCGGGAAGGTATATGACGCTTGGCTTATGGCGTTTTACTTCTGTAAATAACTGAACAAGGGCCGCTTCGGGTGACTACTTAAATTAGCGATAATTATTCTCAGTATATAGTAAGTCATACCCGGGTAGAATCACTGTATATTGTTGAGAGATCAAAGTTTTGGACGTGTAGCCCTTCGAAGTGGTTCAAAATCGCACTACCAATGTAGGTCTGACCCATACCGGGCTCACCTTGTATTAGTAAGCGTGGTCTAAAAACGCGGGATCTCTCAAAGTCCCGCTCCATAGTCTCTCGACCAAATCCATAATCTTCTTCTTCATATTGTTCATACATAGCTTCCTGAAGAGCCGTGGTTTTCTTTTTAAGTGGTATCAGGCCATCGAGGATCGATTCAATCTGCTTTAATTGATCATGTAATAGTGGCTCAACACTCTTTGGGAGAGGAGCGGCCCCAGCTGATGCTGATCTTTCAGAAGAAGGGATTATCCGTTGGATAGAGATCATGAAATCCTTTGCAGTAACCTTAATTTTATCAGCGTCAACCCTTAGTTTTTCAATCGATGAGTAAATCTGAGGATATGTTCGTTGAATTGAATTTAAGGCTGCCTCAGTACAGAGTGCCCTTAGATCTGCGCCCCCGTATCCTTTTGTAACTTGTGCCAACGAAGCCACAAAATTTTCATCAATACCCCAGTCTTTAGTGTGAATTTTAAGAATTGATTGTCGAGCCTTCATATCTGGAAGCGGAAAGTAGAACTCCCTGTCAAATCTACCTGGACGTCTCAGAGCGGGATCAATATTATCTGGCCTATTTGTAGCTCCGATAACAATTACTTGACCACGGCCATCCATCCCATCCATCAAAGCCAGTAGAGTAGATACAATTGACGCATGAATTTGCTCTTGTTTGCTCGACCTGACAGGAGCAAGTCCGTCAATCTCATCGAAGAAGATGATGCTTGGTTGGGTCTTTCTAGCTTCATCAAATAGTAGACGAAGCTGTCTCTCTGCCTCACCTACCCATTTGCTTAAGGCATCGGCACCTTTACGCATATAGAATGTGATCTTTTGCCCTCCTGATCCGACGCTGGCAGCGAGTGCTCTTGCGAGGAGAGTTTTACCAGTCCCAGGTGGGCCATGAAATAGTACACCCCGAGGAGGAGTAACGTGGAACTTTGAGAATAATTCAGGATATAAAAGAGGCATTTGAACCATTTCTTTGAGCTGGTCAATATAGCCTTCCAAGCCTCCAACTTTGCTGAAATCAACGTCTTGATCAACCCCCAATGGATCTGCATCGGCTAAGGATTTTTGGCTCTTTATCTTCCCAAGATTTGCAGGATTACCTGATAAGCCTCCGGCTGTATCAAGATTATTGGCTTGACCTAGGCCTGGGAGAAGTCCGGGTGCAACAGCCGAGGTAGGTGTTAATCCGACAGCTCCTGTGGGTCTTTGCAATGTCTCATCATCACTACTATCAGAATCAACTCCACCGACTACTTCTGTACCCCAAGGCCCTCCAATTACTGGAGAAGGGCCACCACCACCGCCAAACGGACCAAAAGTAGAGAATAAGTTTCGCTCCCACGGCTGGCTGGCAGCGTTTCGTCCACCAGTGGTACGTCTGGTTGGATTAGGTGTGTCATCTTCGGCATCATCGTCAGCTGCGTATATCTGGTCGAGAGGTTTTATCGTGTAGTCAACTTTTGTTCGTGCCCGACCAGTTCTCTCGTACAAAATTCCAGAGTCTTTCCTCCTCATTTTTCTTCGTTTTTGTGTAGTTTCCTTGAGGTCATGTAATTCCTCGGCTATTTCATCTTGATCAAGCTCATCATCCGAAGATTCAAGAGCTCCTCGGCTTTGTGAGTTACTCTTTGACTTTGGGTTGCGAGTACGTCGTGCCGTCGAGCCTGGGCTATTGTCTATCTCGGCCTCCTTACTTTTTTTCTTGGGTGAAGTGTCAGATGCGGATACTTCATCTTCAGAAGCATCATCAGGGGGTTCAAAATCACTACCAACTTCGTTACCTCCCTGTTGAAGTAAGGTTGATCTGCGTGTTTGGCGTTGTGAAGTTGACCTGACTTTTGCTGAATTATTTTCTTGGAATTGCGTTGCAGGAATGCTTGTCCCTGTTCCTCTCCTACGGCGCTTAGTAATTGGTTGATCTTCATCTTCCTCATCATCTCCTCCACCGGATAACTCCTCATGAATCTGGCTTTTTTCTTCGTCTAACGCTGAATTGGCTATACTGTGGTCGATTTGTTTTACATCTTGCGTACCTTCTTTAGACTTTGGGCTGCTTTCTTCGGGGTAGTCAGAATCAGCAAAGTCAGTGGCAATTGTCGTATCTTTTGCTTCCTGATTTCCAGAACTGATCTCATTAACTTCTTCGGTCGTTGGCGTGAGTTTTCTAGACTCTTTTGGTCCCTTATTCGGCTTTGAGCGTGAGGCGGGCTCTAAACTGTGGCCTTTACGAAAGCTGCGTCTTCCGGGTGTAAGAGGAACGACCATGGGTTCATCAGCCTCTACAGTTTGCGCTCGCCTCAATGAGCGTGTTAGTCCAGCTGACAAAGGCTCTATGCTTCCACGCGGGCGTGTTGTTCGGGCAGTAGTACCAGTTCTTATTATACGATGAGGAGTATGAATCTTTAATGTTACCATTCGTGTACGAGCTTTGGTCGCGGTGGGCTTCACGTCATCTTCCTCATCTTCATCTGATGTTGACTGTGATTTGAGACGTTTTTTTCTTTGCTCGGAAGGCTTCGAGCCAAATTCTCCAGTGTTATCTGCAGCATCACTCCCGCTTTTTTCCTCATAATTGACAGTTTTTCTCGCAGCTTTGCGCACCGATCTTCCAGTAGCAGGGTTTAATTCGAGTTCCTCGTCTTCTGAAGATTCTGAGAATGAATCTTCCAAAAGGCTGTCGTTATCATCTTCATTATCTGAAACATCGGAGCCTCGGTATCTAGGACGTTTGGGACGTTTTCTGGAATTTCCAGAGCGTTTGCGAGGTTGCTTTCGGGTACGCTTGCTTGCTAATTGATCGGGTTCAAAGTCTGTGTCGTTAGAATCAGATTTATTAGGATCGAAATACTCAAGTTTGCGTTTGGTGGGCATATCGGCTCAGTTTCAACAAAGGCAAGTCGCTTGAGCAGTAGCAAGCGTCGCAGCCCTTTAGTGCATGTGAATTATAGTGGCCTTTGCAAATTAGAGTCACTCTGAGTAGTTTCGATGGTGGGCGAGCCGTTAGTCATCCATGCGCGGAAGTCCGACCGATCATCTATGACAGAGGCATTTGATTACTGATACAATTTGGCTTTCATCTATCAAATAGTTAAATTGAATTTGCGATATTGATGGGTAGGATTGACTGATTATTCAACTGGGAAGGTTATGGTGGACTCTGCCAATAATCTAGGTGCGGCGCGTGTGTTGCTGTTCTGTTGCTTGTCCGAGCTTGCCACTAAGTCGTAAGTGGGTCCAAATTAGTGTGCACCCTACACTCTTAACAGCTGCACGTCTAAATCCACCGCGAAGTATACCATGACATAGAGTTATGGTGAACATGTTCATCTACAGTCATCCAGCAGAGATTGGAGACTAAATTTAGTTTGCTCATAAAACACAAGAACTTACAAAATTGTTCTAGCCTTACAATACAATAGTCATTCGAAATGACTAAAAATTAATCTTTCCATCATTAAAAAGCTTCCTATTCCTCTCATCATTCATCCCCGAAATATTTGAGCCTTGCGTACCGGAAATTTGACATATTTTAAGAGTTTTTCAACTTTCCTGAATTTGAGATATCCCCATAAAGTCACAATGAAGGATTAGATCAGATATATGTGATGGACCGCCAGACTAAAGAGGCTTCGTTGCTTTTTCAATCTGAATCATTGTCGGATGAAACTATTCTACAGCGTAAATGATAGAAATTATCAAATTTACACAGGTTTACGATTTACTAATAGAGTGACACGTCGCGAGTATTCCAGCTCCCTTCCAGAACATTTACTAATTATTATATGAAATTAAAATCATTTCATCTGGTTGACTGCAATCTGAGCCCTCTTAGTCTAAAGACCTGAGAGGAAAGTCTTTCGATACAAAACACCCCTATCCAATCTGTTGTGAGCGGTTATAAATTTAACCTGCAGAAATTGAATTTGTCACAAATTTAGTGCTGTTAGCTCGCCATATTATACCCGAGATGATCATCCACAGTTTTTTTCACTGTTGTTTGGTGTGGTTTATTAACGTGCTAGGCAATCGGCACCTTCCACACTTCTAAGGGAGCTTGAGTAAGAGTGGGGCTGAGATGCATCAGATTAACTACCATATAATTACATATACCTTGTCCCATCTGAATGACCGGACTACCTCAGACTTTAACCATGAATTATACACATCATATCCAACCGTCCAGAGAACTAGATTTTCGCACGCCGAAGCCCGATTTCTTCCCGAGCCTTGGCCATTACACGTCTGAGCCCTTGAGGCTCACCAAAACTCTAACTTGTGATTTCCCTTCAATCATAGTCAAAGTTCATCCTAAAATATCTTCATATCATCCGGGGGTTGTTTTCTTCATCATATGCCTCATCCAGCAATCCACCGAGGCATCATCAGTTTTTCTTCCTTTTCCTTCTCCATTGTAACTTTCGTTAGCCCTTCTTTCAATATCTCCATCGTAAAAACTTTGTAGACTATCTATCTCTCTGGCCATGCCCCGTTGCTGCCATGCTCCTACCCGTGGAGGAAGAATACGGATCAAAGAGCTCAAGACCAAGGCACCGATGCATCGGCCTTTTTCAACTGCTCTATTTGATATGCTGGCAAAATATCATTGGTATCTCGTCGTTAGCGATTCGTTGCAGGACGAGTTTTTGGTGCACTTGGCCGAGATCGGACGAAATAAGATCGGTACTTCGACCGTGCATTCATAGCATACGATAGTTGCGATAAATAAATTTACACTTGTCGCGTAGATTATGGATATGACTTTTAGATCTTGTAGTGCTTTGGTATATGGTGAGATAGTTGCGGAGAGTGTCGCGAGATAAGGTTGGATGGAAAAGATCTTCCAGGAAATTTTGAGTAAATAAGGATCCTCAGCTATTTTAATATAAGCATCAGACAGATTTTATCCTATCCACGGTTCGTATTTGGGTTCTAAACATTATATTCGCTGGATTGTGTAGTCGTGAATTCTCTGCAGGTTGGATTTTCGACAAAAGACTTGCCAACACCATTCCTCCCGATCTATATCTTGACGAAAACTCTCAGATGAACTCTTTGTAATGAATAAATCTCGACTCTGGGGGGGTATATCTATTCCAGATTCGTAGAGAATACTACTGACGGGTATTCAGCCTTTGACCTCCTCAATGTTGTTTGGAATGATGTCGATGGTGACTTTTCTCCCTAACTTTTACCATTTTCTCCAAATGTCGATAAGAGGCCTTTGGATCCTGGTTTTAAAAATCACGAAGTTCTCACACTTGGCTTTATGTTGCTCGTGTGCCTGGCCGCAGTGAATGGACAGCAGCAAATTTACGAGCTCATCCGATGGGAGCTGATACCCTTAATATCTCCTAGCCTTACAGCACAAACCTTTGGTGTACATGCATTCAACAAAATTAAAGTTCCACCTGATTTGTGCTCAGAGTGCGTGTTTGTGTTTATTGTACTACTTGAGTCTTTGACTATCTAGCACATTGGGCTCCTTTCTGACCCAAGCCACACCTCGAACAGTGCTCCTATCCTCTTTTGTTACCTATAAGATCATTGATATATTGCCCGTGATGAATAGCCATTCAGCCCAGTATTTACCCGTGGAATTCAGCCACCTTTTCCACGAAACCTTCTACCCAAAAAGAAAGAAAAAGGAAGCAATGGAAACTGCGTGCGCGGAAAAAAGTCTCAAAAAGCCTGCTACCCTAGCCAGGCGAGGCCTAGACACCGGGACCGCATGAAGTGCACATATTCATCTATATCTCCCTTCTTTGTAACAGTCGAGGCCGACTTGATCTAATCCAACATCGCCGTATCGGGTGCTGGGTACGCTTCGGAAACTCTTCGGGTGGCTTTTCCTCCATGGTTAAGGGTTGATGATGAGAAGGGCTTCGACCCTGACATATGACCTGATCGTGACCAGCTTCATGATAGTGGTGATAGGGGATGTGCTTAGGGATGAAGACAATACAGACGGCGGAAGCGAATGAGAATCCTCATCGAAGTGAGGACTTTGTTACTCAATCTCAGCTCTGCAGACTATGCAGTGAGAGCTAGAGGTTTGTAGGGGACACCACTGACAGGTGTTGAGAATAGTCCCCCGAAGCCTTGTGGGACTTATAGCTGTCCATTATGCTTCCATTTTGTCATTGCTCAGATCCTTTTCGACGTAAAGGGCATCGAAGGGGTTCTTGGAAACAATTTCTTGTGTATCCTGTGCTGTCCTTGGTCCGGCAGGGCTGAGGTGTTGAGATGATGACAGCTTATCACTACGCGCTGCTGAGTTGGCTTGGGGAAGGGGCTTCGCACAGCCCGCTTCAACTTATCTACGCAAACGGGTATCTGCATTGAATTTTAGGACTGCACTCACCTGAGATTTGGTCAAAGGTGGTCCCGTAGCTTTAGGCTTAAGCTCACACTTGGCATAGTCATCGGCATGAAGGCCGTGGTACTGAATGCATTTAAGTGGACAGGTGTGCTCACCTGTGGCTGCGCAGTAGTTACCATGCTCGTTTTCAGCATGGGTGCCCGAACCACGTAGGCGGCACCGGAGGGAGGACGCACAAGTTCGGGTATTATGCCATAGCCAGCATCTATTGCACTGAGCAGCTATGTAGCGCCGAGGGAGGGATTTTGTGATCGCACGGCAACCAAACAGGAAGAGAACACGAGGAAGACGTTGGTGAGTTTCTGGAAAGCGAACAACCCATGTTGTTGAGGAGGAGTCTGGGTTCTACTCATTATCGCGCAACGCAAGGATGGCTACCGGGGCTGTTCCTGCGGCAGCTGAAAGTGCTTCGTGCATAGCAGCGGCAGTGACTGGTTGAAGGCAGTATCTGAGTTCGTCGTTGATGGTTCTGAACGTTCGTGGGACGTAATTAATCCTATATGAAGTCCACGGTGAAGCACTTTTAACTGCGACATTATCAAAAAATACTCACCTTTGAGATTTCTTCCTTAAGTTTAGAGGTTTCTCCATGTTTAGGGCAAAGTGCGAAACCAGTCTTTGTGGACTGCACGTTAACTAGAACTCGTCCTTCGTTTCCTAGCTTAGCTTTCAGGTGAGACTAGATAGCGTACGCTGAGAGACCCCTGAGATTATCTCCATCAGGTATGCGGACAAACAGACGATCGTCAGTGCGATGTCGTTGCGGTTTTGTTTTTGGGCTAGGACGTGCTGGCCCTCTACTACTGTGTATATTTTCAGTGTGGATGCCCTGGGGTCGGCGAGCCACCTTGGCGTATGATAAAGTCTCCGGCGCTTGCGGAGTTTGGCAAGGCTCAGGAATCGGTTCAATTTTTGATACCAGTTTTCCGCTTATGTCGGCATCAAAGTGACGTGTAGTAACCTCAGCTAGATCTTTACATAAATTTTTGAGGGCCAAACTTTGATTAGCAGGGAGTGAATTGTGACTTGGTGCTGCCCAATGATTGTCCAATTGCGAGGCGATACTACGAAATAATGATTCAGCTTCCTTCGCTCGGATTTCTGCAGCAGCAACACTTCTTCCCAGTGCCGCTCTAAAGGAGCCAGATGGGTTGGGCGCGTCAAACTAGTTATCTGTAGGTTCGTCTGGGAGCTCGTCATATTCTAGAGTGATGCCATGCTCGTAAAGAGTTTGGCTGGGCCAAGGTCGTCGAAGTCTTGATTGGAATGATAGGAGGGGTGCGTAGGAGGGCGTTGAGCCTGTAGCTCCAACATTGGTAGACGCAGTTTTCTCTTATGCGCGGCTTAGCAATGCTGGATGTATTCTGCGTAGGCTTTAGAATAGCGTGGGTAGAGGGAGAAATTTTTGTGAGAGGAGGTATTTAAATTGAAGCCAGGGTTAGTTTAACAATAGAGGTATGTAACTAGATTCAAAGTTGTTGTGAGAGTGTCG